ACAACGACAACGACAACGAACAATGCGGTAATAAAAAAGGCCAACAACCGACCATTAACCAGGCAGTAGAACAGCGGCGGAGGGGGTACGCAAGCGTGGGTGAGTGGCGGTGGGAAGGGGGAGGTGAAGCCTAATGAAATTCCATAGAACCATGTTCTCGCCTGATAAGCAGCCATTGGTCAATTGGCCCAGCTCTCGGCAGCAGCAGGCTGGACGGCATGCAACATACGACGAAATGTGCACCACACAGGCGATGCCGCGGAAGCGAGCGTGACGCAGCGCGAGGGAAAGCCGAACTCTGCCCACATGAAATATGAACTAGAGAGAACCCCAAAGGGGGCCTTCCGACTATAAGATACCCGGTAATCGTTCCACAGCCAGTTTGTAGAAAATGCATAGCTCTCCGCCGGGCATTTGCTTGATCAACAGTCGAGGCCTTCCTTCGCTCGCACAATTACAGGGTACAAAAGCTGCAAAAGTATAAAGTCAATGTCATTTGCAATGCAGCGCCGTAAATTATTTTACATGGCCGAGTTAATGCCGTGCAGTAGCGCGAAAGACGGCGACGGCGACAGAGAGAAGCTTTAACAAAGCCCCAGGCAGACGAACTAAGCTTTACTTTAACGGCGGGGGGAGGGGGGAGGAGCGGTTCGTCCAGAAGCTCCTGTAGCGTCGGCAGATTGCAGTACGACTTCCACACTGCTGCAGCCAGCCTCAACTTTCTGGCATTTATCTTTATGAAAAGAAATCGCTCAACGCCCGGCACACGGCACACGGCAGACGGCACACGGCATTCAGCACTCGACGCTCAGCCCTGGGGGGGCGTCATTGTTTCTATCCCAGAGACGGGATGGATGGCAGCCAGCCACCGCAAAGCAGTGTTTCCGTGGCTTATTCCTGCGCTGAATTTCATGCAACGATTGCCAGAACAGAACAGAGTAGAGCAGAGCGGAAGCAGAGGAGAGCGAAGCTGTACCGAGCAGAGCAGAGTGGGACAGAGCAGAGCAGAGCTGAGCAGAGCAGAGCGAAGCACAGCAGGGCAGAGCGAAGCAGAGCGGGCAGAGCAGAGCCAAGCAGTGCACAGCAGAGCGGGACAGAGCAGAGCAGAGCGAAGCAAAGCAGTGCACAGCAGAGCGGGACAGAGCAGAGCAGAACCGCGGAGAGCAGAGCGGAGCAGAGCTTCTTCTTCGTTCGGGCTTTGTGTATGCAAACAAAGTACGAGATAAACTTTTGTTCTGCCTGAACTTTGTCGCGCTTTGGTGTCGCCGCTGTTGCTGTTTTCGCATTATAATTTCAGCCTGCCCGCGCCCCGGCCCCTCCCTCCCTCCCAGCACAGTGCTTTATGAAAATGAGTTAAACATAATACGAATCTCTCTCTGGGGCAAGTTTTGAAAATTGTTTTTAAATTTCGCCGTCTCCATCTCCACGAGTTCGGTTTCCGTTTCGGTGACACGCGCAACAAAAATTGACAATGGCTGGAACAATATGTCATTAGAATATAAATTGAAATTGACGGCATAACTTGTTTGCTTTTGGATGGTTTTTCTTTTTGGGGCTAACGGTGGTCCCCGGCACGCAGTCGTCAGTCGACAGCCACTGGAACTGTCATTGGTTTTGCATGTTGCAAGTTGATTAAAAAACTACATGCTCCACTCACGTGCCACACGCAGGCCAAGGCGAAAATTATACGGCTCGGATGCCACAACAGTACAGGATTCGTCGTTGGGGGCGGAGGGTGTCGGCCTTAGACATACTTTTCCAATTTACCCCTCGCACCGCACCGCACAGCAGCAGCAGCAGCAGCAGCACTGGTGGGGCAGGGCAGGCTGTGCGAAATGAGCCACTCAAAGCAATCAGGCAGACACATGCCCCCCCGCCACCCCCAGCTCCGCCCAGCACTCGAAGAAGAGGCCCATCCTGGAATCCTCACCAGCCATCAGCGCCATGAATTATGCAAATCTCTTGTGGCCAACTCAACAGAGAAATGGAAGTGGCAGCCACAGCCAGAGAGAAAAAAATCAAACAAAATCGATTGATGTACAAATTTTTCTTAGCATCCGCAAATAATTTTCTCCAAAGGAGATCCTGTCTGCCTGCCTGCCCGCCTGCCTGCCTTTTGATTTGTGCGGCAATGACAGGCTTGGGGGCCCCACAGCTACGGCTGTTGCTATTTTTTGTTGTTGTTGTTTCGTCCTGGCGTGGCGGCGGCGTGGCCTACTCCTAAATTATGTAGATTTGTTTTAGCATAATGCTCGTGTGCGAGTGTGTGCCATGGCGCTGTGTATCCGTGTATCTCCGAGTGGTTCGAGAGCGATTTTTCCAGCTCTCGGCTGCAACCGTTTTAAACCGCCATTAAGCTGCCCTCCATAAATATCAGACCCCTAAAAGCAGGGCGACTCAGGAATTATGTAAATTTGTTTGGTCACAGCGCCACCCTGGTCCCCGTCTCCCGATTTTGGGCCCCATTTCATTGAGTTATTGTGCGTTGGCCAGGCAACGCATCCTGGCTGGCTCCTCTCTTGCGGTGCCCTTTGCCTTTTCCTTTGTCCGCACAACATATGAAATTCCTTCCCTTTTGTCTCTGTCTTTGTTAATTTAATTCGCCTCGCATTCTCCACACAAAAATGGTATCGGACGGGGACAACTTTTCCATTGGCAATGGCCAGAAACTTACATTTTAGCAATAGCTTTTGCGAGAAATCAAATCAGTTGAAAATTAATTTAATTCGCACTCGAACGGCAAAGTTTCGCCACGCCCCCCACGGCCCCCTACCGCCCCCACTGCCCCCCGTCCACCCCACCTTCTTGGCTCCATGTAGCTTTATGATTTGCCTGGCGAGCAGGTACGAAACGGGAAAAAATCACTGAAAATACTGGAGCTGCAAAATTTTAATTATAAAAGTTTGAATCTTGCTCGCCTTGACGCCTGCTTGCCTGACTGACTCGTCCTGTCTGCGAAGGATTGTCAGGGGGGTCGGGGGGGCGGCAGGGGGGCAGCGGGGCAGCTCTGCACTTTGCCGATTCCACCAATATTAATTATGATTTCATTTTCGTTAGTTAACAGTTTCTTTTGGCAGCAGTTTTTTTTATTGCTTCTGCCTCAACTGATGCCGGATCCATTTGAAATGAATACCAATTGCACTCGGTTCCATGTGCAACAGAGGCGCCGGAAAAGTTTCCTTGTGGCGCAACTTAATTAATTTTACATTGCTTCGAGTACAAGTTCGAGTTCGAGCACGGGGCTGGCCTGGCCTGGCCTGGCTGTCGGAAAAGTGTTCAGATGATAAACGAGCTAATTAATATGCGCCAAAAACTTGTCCCAGGGCCCCCACCGAGCTTCCCTCTCCGTAATGCAAATAGCTGGAAATAGTCGCTTGTGGCTTTCCAATTATGCGATATGATTTGCACAAAATTCCCAGCCATGGACGGGGCAGGACAGGGCAGGACCACCACAGGAGTGCTCCTTGGGGACAGGCCAGTTCAACGACACAAATTTCATTAAAATTCATGTGAAATATATTGAGACTTGCATGCATAATGGTCACTAAGTTTGTGCCTGCCACTCCCACACGACGCATTGCTTTCTTGCAACATGCAAATACCATCAGGAGCGGCAGTGGCAACTTGTAACTGGCAACGGCATCCGGGGGCATCCGCTTCGTTCCGTTTCGTTTCGTTCCGTTCTAAATGCAACTTGCATTGGTAGAAAATTTTTGCCTGGCTTCCGTCTCCGCCTCCGCCTCGGCCCCCGCCCCCCAACGATGATGCCACTCGACGCTGTATAAAAACGCAGCTCAAGGAGTTTTGTGCGCCCCATGAAATTTCATGCATAAACTTTTACGAAATGCAAAAGTTTTAATAATTTAAGCCGGGCACGTATGCCGCCTGTCCCAATGTCCTGCGAGTCCTGCGAGTTCTCTGTGTCCCTGGTCCACTGGTCAGCTTAGAAGTGCTCGAGGTAATGTCCTTAGTTCGAACGATGAAAAAATATTGGAAAAACGTCCCTGAGCAGGTCCTAAGCAGGTCCTGGGCAGGTCCTGGGCAGGTCCTTGGGCCTGGACACGAGTGCCATTGACGATTATATATTAAAAACGTTCTCTCTGGTAAATTGTTGAGAAAGTTTCCCGGTCCGGCAATTGCAACATTTAAATTTCATCCCCCCCACTACTTGGGCCCCCATCGAATGTGGAGTGGAAATGAAACCAATTTGGAGCCGAGTTTAGTTTTACATCTAATGCTTTATTTTAATTTGTTGAATATTTGAGGGTTTTCTTATGCGCTTTAATCATACAATTAGCATCGTAGTTGTAGTTGTAGTTGTAGTACTAAGTAGTTAGTAATTAATGAACTCTCCGCTAAGGAACAGGCTGCCCAAAAGGTGCCCTGTTCTGCTCTCTAAATCTGTATCTATGTGAGTGTGGGACTCGTACATTGTATCTGTGGTAATGGTAATGGTTAATCCTTTCTTCTGGCTATGTTTAGGTACACACACACATACACATTTATGTAGATAAATTGTAACGCTTTCGGTTTTTTTGGGGGGGGTGGGGGTGGGGGGATGGGCAGGCTAGAATGTACAAGTGCATAAGCTGATAAAATGCTTGCTCAATAAGTATTCCTCATGTATTTACAGGGCCTGCTCTGCTGTCACGAGTCACGAGTCACAAATATTCCAAAAATTCACATTCAAATACGAATATTCTATGGTAAATTCTATTGTATTTACGGGGGAGCAAAGTATTAGCCTAGTTTTTAGTTTTGGTGGTACAACATTGTATTCTTCTTTTTGGGGTTTTTCGTTTGCTTAAGTTCTAGTTTACATCGAAGAAACACTCTATTTGATGCCAATTTTCTGTGTGTTTTGCTGGCTTACTGGTGCACTTACGGGCTAAAATACAGGCAAAAATGAACAACAAACACAGGACATGTGTGGGGGGGGATGCCTTGTGTTCGAGTGAGTATTTCGATATTTATTATTTATGCTTTAAATAATATCACTATATAATGTTTTGCTTAATTTACATACACGTTTCTTTATGCGGAGTAAAATGTAGTTCATTCACATTCAGATATCTAATGCTCTTAATATTTACATGACCTATTTTCGATTGGCTTACGTGGCTATAATGGCTATCATGGCTATCATGGGGCTTTTTGCCTGCTCGACTCGCATTTTCCTTTGCTCCATTCTCCATTTTCCTTTGCCATATAATGTACGAGTATGTGTGCTAATTAAATCGTGGACAAAACTCTTTTCAAAATAGTATTTACATGTGGGTTTTTATTTTGGTTTCCATTTCTTTGGGTTCTTGCTCTTTGGTTAGCTTGCTGTAGTTGTTGTGGGGGGTTGGGGGGTAGGGGAATACCATTAGCGGGTTAGTCAATCCAAAAAGATGTACAAATTCCAACCAAAATCAAGTCATTCTCGGCCTCTGCCCCGTTTTGTGGCATGCGTTGCTGTTTTGCTCTGCGGTCGCTTAGCCCAGGCCCAGGCCCAGTCGACGCCTGTCGTACTGACAATTACTCAAGGCCAGGGCCAGCAGCAGGGCCATGTGCAGGAGCAGGCACTGGGGCAGTGGGCCTTGTAGGCTGCTGATGGCTCCGCTGTTGCTGCGCGACTTGGAGCTGGCCACCACCTCGGCGTCCTCGGGGGCAATGTCCAGGCTGTTGCTGGCCACGATAAATTGAAATATATCGCTGACCTGCAATGGATGGGGGGTGGTGGGGGTGGGGTTAGGGTGAAAGTGCAAGAAAAGCGTCGTCAGGGGTTCAGTACACAAAATCAAGATTAAGTAGCCGCCCCGTGGCGTCCAATTTAGACAGAGTGTCGAACTGTGTCCGGGGTGTGGGCGTGTGGGCGTGTGGGACTCACCTCGTTCCAGCCGTAGCGGTTCTTGGCCTGCACAATCGCCTCGTAGTAAGCCCCAGGATACAGATTCTTAATGGTGTAGGACATGATGTGTGTCAGGGGCTCCGAGGCCGGCCGGTGTTCGGGTGTGAGTATAAAGTCGTGCCACCTGCCCGGCTGCTGGAAGGTATCGTTCATCTATACGGGATGGAGAAGGAGAGAAGCAAATTAAGTGTCTGACTCTACCATTCGACAGTTTTCCTTTGATTCCTTAATTAATTTCATGTCCTGCCGCAGAAACCCGACTACAGGCTTCCCCCCCGTGCCCCCCTGCTTGGCGAACCAATGACCCATCGCTCGTTGCAGTTATGACAGGGACATCATCAATTAAGCATCGACCTGCCACGCCCCCCACTCCAATATCCAGCCATAATTGCACTTCAGGGCTGCCGAGCAAGAGTACGAGGGCGAGGCGGGGCGGGGCCGGTGTATGACATTCATCGCCAAGAGCGCGTAAGTGAAAAATCTCATTAAATTTGTTGCGCCTCATGAAGCCACCTCCCCTCCAACCCACCGCCCCTGCGCCATTGCTACCGTTGTAGCCACAAGTTGCAATTAAGCGACATTTTTCGTTGATATTAAAAATCACTTTTGTCTGTGCGCCGCCACCCAAAGGCAGATGCTGAATGTGCCTCCGACTGTGGCTCCTTCTCCTTCTCTGCCTTTGACTCTGCCCCTGCCCCCGCCCCCCGCGGCTCCCTTTTGCTTTATTTCCCTCATAATTGCCGCCGTTTTCTTCTATTTCCATGGGTTCCCGAGACATTTCATCGCACAGAATATTATTTTAATCACGTGCTTCATTAGTGCACCGCACGCATGTGGCAGGGCATCGGGTTACCTGCCACATCTGCCACATCTGCGGCATTGTCTAGATGTGAGACGGGCGTGGATTTTTTTGTGCATATTTCACGGTTAATTAATTGATATTGTATCCGCACTTACCAGCACACGACGGTAGAGCAGACGCACCTCCTCCAGCGGCGGGTAGCTATCGATTTTCCATGTCAGATTGTAGCTGTCCGGCGAGCGGCCCCACTTGGGCGAGTAGAACTCGGCGGGTCCGGGGCGGCCCGACAGCTCCATGTACTTGCGGGAGCGTCCCAAAGAGTTGTCGGCCACGCAGCTGAAAGGGGGGGGGGAGAAGAGTTCGAGTTAGAAGGAGTACCAGTAGTGGGTTTCAAAAATAAAACTAATTTCCTTTTAATTCTGCATTACACATACGCCCTGTAGGGCATCGATCTGTGTGGCTGTGCGGCAAGTCGACTCAACTAATCCCAACACGTCGACACGTCGTGTGCACAAAAGCCACTCACTGTGGGTGGGCCCAGGTGCAGGGGGGGCAGGGGGGCAGCCCCCCACTAAAACTTTGTGCATGAAATGTTGTGTCAACATGGCGAAACTTCCGCTTCTTTAATATGTTTCAGACAGATTGACATTGATGTGGAAAACTTGTTTGTCCGCAAAATGGACGCCAGTGATAAAGGGTAGGGGAGGGAGGGAGAATTCCCCCTTGGCTGGACGTGGGGTCTGTGAAGCATATAGCAAATAAAGCAACGGACTGATTCCAGTCAACGGAGGGAACTTTGAACCGCTCAGTGGCTCTCGGTGGCTGCCAGAAAGTGAAATAAGTTGTAGCAAAAGTTACCAAATTGACTAAATCAACGCTCTGGCTCAGGCTCTGTGTGTGGGCACGCCCCTCTACTCCGTGTCCTTGAGTGGCACTCACCTGTAGTTGCCAAAGTCCTCCTGCTGGATGTGGCGTATGGTGAGTGTGTGTCGATTGCCTCTGGTGTTCATGATTCGTCTATCGGTCGTTTGTATCGGAAATGAGTTCTGGTACCAGGACACCTGCAGCAGTACGAAGGACAACTAATAAATTCAGCTCCAAATTTGACCCACAAGAAACGAAAAATGGCATTAATTTGCCACAGCAACAAAAAGAAAGAAAGCCCAGCACAAAACATGACAGAAACAGAACGGGATACGAGAAAGGATAACGAAAAAAAAACCCCCCAGAAAAAAAGGTGACCTGAAAACAAAGTTCTTGCATAAAACGGGCGATGGTGGGGCTACGGTGGGGGACTGGGGGGGGGGGGGGGGGGGGGGGGGGGGGGGGGGGGGGGGGGGGGGGGTAATCGTAATAATCTAAAAATCCACGAAAATAACAAAAAACTATCTGCTGGATACAATGGAAACGGAATGAAATGCATTCAAAGAGCCAACAAACCGTTGCGACTGGATCAGCGTAGACAATGCAAACGAGTTTCGCCTCGAAGCCCTCGCCCGAGTGTATCCAGGACTTTTCCACTTGTATATCCGGTGGATCTGTGCGGCACAGACAAAGGCATCCGTCGGAGAGAGGGAGAAAAGAATTTAGCACATGAAAGCGGCAATCTGATTACAGTCAAAAATCAATTTATATACAGTCGCTAAGACTCGCTGCTTTGTGTGGCATGCATCTCGGTGTGGAGATACTTTTGCTGCCACTGATTTACGAGACATAAGGGACCTGCCTCCATGATTGATGGGTTGCAGGATACTTACAGAGCACATCCAGACGCATGTCGACGGTGACTGGATCGCCCACGCCGTTGTCGGCGGTGCACTGGTAGACGCCCGCCTGCTGGCGCTCCAGCTTCTCCAGCGTCAGGATGGGGCCGTCGCCGATGCGGGCCGTCGACTTGTTAGCGCCGCTCTGGAAGAGGAGGCGGAGAACGAGGGAGAATGGAAACGATTTAGTCACAAAAAGTAGGAGAAACGAGAAGAAGGACGCTCCCCCAATGCACAGGGCGGTGGCAGGGGCAGGGCCAGGGGCAGAGGGCAGAGGTGGAAGGGCGGTGCTGTGAAGCCAAAAGTCAAGTTGCGCTCAAATATTGGATGTGGAGCATGCAAAACTGGATGTAAACACAGCCATCGAGGAGGGGGGGCGGGGGGGGGACTGTGTCCCAAAAGCAGAGCGTCTTTTCTTTGGCAACCGACTTGCTGTGCCCCCAAGGGTGGCACGTGTCAACCTGAACACACGCTCGGGCTCTGACAGCAGCAGCGGAAGCGCCAGAACTCGAGGATAGATTGAAACGGAACGGAATGGAATGGAAAATGAAATGACATACAACTTGGCAGTGTCTTTGGGGGGGGCGGAGGGAGGCGGAGGGAGGCGGAGTCCCCTGCCTGCATGCAGACAAACAAATCGAACGGAAATGTCAAATGCGCCAAAGTGCAGTAATGCAAACGGAACTCTTACCGAAATGAAGATACGACTCCGGCACAGCCCTCGTCCCCCCTTCCCTTGTGGAGTGCCTGCTCCGACACTTGCTTTATTGAAAGTTTGACCTGCCCTCCGTCTCGGTTTCCGCAAAGGTTCGATCTGTTGAAGTGACACTGACAGGGACACTGGGTCACTTTCTGTTTGCCAGTGGCCTGGGAACTACGACTGGCTCTGGCTCTGGTCCTGGCTCTGGCTCTGGCCCTGGCTCTGTCTCTGTCCCTGGCTCTGTCCCTGTCTCTGGTCCTGGCTCTGGCTCTGGCTCTGTCCCTGGCTCTGGTCCTGGCTCTGTCTCTGGCTCTGGCTCTGCCTCTGTCTCTGGGTCTATGAATCGCATTAATTACAATTTGACTGCAGGTTCGAGTCGAGTATTCGGTCTGGTCCCTGCTTGTTTGCATACTGTGTGGCATTGACAGTGATTTAGTGTGTATCCCTCATGTTGGCACCCAAATGATTCCGTATGAATGCCAGAATCAGACCCTGTTGCCCTGTGTTGATGGACTCCTCGAAAATTAGCAGCGAAAACTAATTGCCAGCTCGCATTGGCATTTGCAAGTCATACAGGTCCCCCCCCTGACCGCCCCTCGGCCCCTCCTGCAACCATTTTGACCCACTTTGAATGGCTGGCAAATATGTGATCCCTTTGTGGGCTCATGCGTAAAATTATGTGTTTGTTGAATTCATAATTGCCTCCCATTACGGCCGCATGCCACATGCTGCCTAACAAATTTATCATTTCACTTTGTGCCGCCCTGGGAATGGAATGTTTCAGAGATGTGGCATCATACTTTCACCCTAGAAAAAGGCATTTTCTCAGGCCAAGAAGTCGCTGTTTAAACACAGTCTGGGGGCGCGATTAAAGCCAAATGAAATGCACCTGAAAACACCATTGGAAGTGAAAGGAGAAAGTAGTACAACCCACCTTTTTAGTCCAGTAGATGGTGGGCACCGGATTGCCAGAGCCCTTGCACTCCAGGGTGATGGGTCCGCCCTTGCGGGCCTGCAGCTGGCCGGATGTGGGTATGGCCCGAACGCTGGGCGGCACTGGGGGGTGGAATGGGGGTTATTAATAGATACGCAAGGGGGGGCTGTGTACTCACCCAATATCTCCACAGTATGCACTTGATCACGATTTATTTTGTCACTGATTTGACAAACATAATCCCCGGCATCTTGCGGCTCCAAATCGGATATCTCTAAATTATAGCCATCTATCAGTCTTACGCGCTCATCCCGGGTGACCATTATGTTGGAGGCAGTGAGCACATTTGTTCCACGTCGCCACAACAGCACAAAGTTGCCTGTGGAGAGAGGGAGAGAGAGAGAGAGGGAGAAAGTGAGGCAAAATGTGTCTGCTTTCCAGGGCCTGGAAATAGTTTTCCCTCCACAAAAAAACACACACAGAGAGAGATACATGTGTATCTTTCTATCCATCTCGAGGACCCTCCAGGACCCTCCCTGTGTCCCCGTGGCTGGGGCTTCTGTTTTCATCTATTTTTTAGTATGTTTGCTCATATAAATGACATAATTTTGCAGATGTTACGGGCATTATTCTTTGCATATTTTATTCTTTTCTTAGCCCACAAAAAAATAAAAGAAAATAAAAGAAAAGAAAAGAAAAGGAAAAACGGCACAATGCGATTAAGTGGCGTATAATATGTTTATTTATTTGATGGCTGTTCTCTTGAACAAATTTATGAACTTGTATTTATTATGGAAATGTTAAAAAAAAAAAAACACAACGAATACGTGGAAAAGCGCCGCATGGTCATATTACGTATACGTGCCGTTAAACCAAAATCAGAGCTGTGTAAACACACGACACAAGGACGACGACGCCGGCCACAGGGGGAGGGGGGCGGGGAGGGGGTGGCATTCGAATATAAAATTTTAATGAAATGTTTTCATTTCTGCAACCTTTTGGCCCGGGGGGGCGGTCGGGCGGCAGCTGACAAGCCGGCCATTAAATAATCACAGCTTAAAGCGCGTTGCATTATGGATGCCGCACGCGTAATGAGAGTGTGCTCAGTGGGCCGTGTGCCGTGTGCCGATTTCCTTCCGGTTATTAACAGAACAAAAGGAAAACACAGCCCACTGCCACGCCAAATGCAAATACCATAAGCCGTAGCCCCCCCCCCCCCCCCCCCCCACCAAAAGTTAAAGTAAACCACTCGTATCCTGCCCCCAAAAAGAAACCCACAAGCAATCATCGTTTTATTGGGTTCGATTATTATTGAATCGGCTGGAGTCTTACACAGCAATTGCCGGGGCATTTTGTGGCATGATGATTGTCTGTGTGTGTGTGTGGTGGGTCCTGCATTTTATTAGACTCTAATGGCGGTCGGACTGGCAGCAATAAAAATTTCATTTTATAGCTCGTCAATGTATGAATTTGTATTGGCCAACACAGGGCTGGCCCCAGCACAGATACGGGGGGCATTACTTATCCCTTTCAACCACTTTCAACCCCTTTCAATCCCTTTTTCAATGGGAGGTGGAGGCAATTTGGTAATTCAATACCTTCGACCAATGAAAAGCCAATTTAAAACCTTAAGCGACACCATGGCGTATACGTATTCGTCAGTGTTCGTAGACCATTTGATACTTAATTTCTTTTATTGGATTAAGGGCTTTTCCACCTACTGCTTGACCTCGCCGAAAGCCAGAAATAAAACCAGAGCAGGGTGCAATCGGGGGGGGGGCCAGCAAATGCCGCCATTGATGAGGCTTCGGCGGGCTTTAAGCCCCCCCAAAAATGGATGTGTTTTTGCCAGGGATTGAAAATCAGCGACAGGCCACGCAAAAAGTCACGAAACATCAGGCGTTAATGGGAAATCATTGCAGTTTAATGTCGTTCCAATTAATTGAAAAATACTTTTGACTCGAAAAAACAAGCCACACTGCGCGCAAAACAGCACTCGATTGTGGCCAGGAATTGCTGTTTGTGGGGCTTTCTTTGTATGCTTTTTTTTTCGCCGTGTACGGCGCTGCTATCTGTGACCTTTGACTGCTGTCAATCTGCCACTGTCGTCGCACTGCCATCGATGTGCAATTTATTTTCATTTGGCTGCAGCGAACGGTTAATTGCATTTTATTTATTGGCATGTCAACGGCAGTTGCCTCTGCAACTGGGTCGACACAGCCCCACCCAGAGGGCGGCCCACCATTAGGGGCTGTGTTTAGACGGAGCAAATATTGTGGCCTTTAATTGATTGAAGTCTCACCCCTTGACAGGTGAGCTGTTTGCCAGTTTTTCCAAGGACTCCAGGAAGGGCCCAGGCTGGCCGTGCACTGGACTGCTGCTCCTCCTTCAAATCGCCCCCTACGCCCCTCCATTCAGGCCACAATTTTCGCCTGAATGGTCCATTGGATCCCCCCCTCCCTGGCCTTAATCAGGCTAATTTATTTGCTGCCAATACGCACATGTGTGATGTTGCATATTTTTGCGACAATCTGCTGACAGCTGTTTCTGGCCCCTACCCCCCTCCCCCTTGGCTGTTGTAAATTAAATTTATGTGAAATGACATTCTGGCTAAACATATTTGCATGTATTTTGCATAATTTTTGGCTGCCTGCCTGCTGCTGATATTATTATTTTTGTCGGCTTTGGATCAAATTTTGCTGGCGGGATTAATTATACTAAGCCAACGGCAGGACTCACCCAGATTCTCCACCTGGCAGGGCAGGACGAGTGTGTCGCCCACAACGGCGCGGTAGGTGTGGCCGCGTGAGAGGAAGCGCGGCAGCGAGGCGGTCAGCGATGAGGGGGCGGCCGCCGATTGTTGCACGTTGCTCATCGAGCGGCTGTTGCTGCCTGTAAGAGAGAGAGAGAGAGAGAAAGAAACATGAGCTTGAGTTATGTTTATGGTATCGTTAGACCCCCCCCCCCGATATCGATGGCTTTCAATTAGCATAAAAATGTTGTCCTTAACGCCTATACGGGTGGCGGCCCAGGGCTCCCAGGCGGCCCATAAACCGTTAGGGGGGGGGGGGGGGGGGGGGGGGGGGGGGGGGCGTCCGTGGTGCCAACGCACTGTCGGTGGTGTCCTTGGGGCATCGTTGGCCATCGTTGGCTTTTGGCGACAAATGAGCGCAGCGAAGCATGGCAAATGCCTGCCAGGGGCATGCCCCCCGAAAACGCTGGTGTCTCGGGCAAGAGCAGCGTAACAAATTTGGTCTGCAGCTTGTTGTGCAACGCCCCCAAGGAGCTGCTGCCCCAAAAGCTGGTAAACGGCAGCATCAGCAAACAGGCCAAAGGTCGCCCTGCTGGCTGCACTTTTCCGTTTGTGCTTTCGTTTTATCTTTTATGGCAACCAGACGCAGCGCCCCCCCCCCCCCCCCCCCCCGCACTACGTGCCACGCCACCAGCAGGTGGGCTGTGTCCACCCCCTCCTAGCAGCTACATTCTTAAGAGACACTTTTACAGGTCCTTAGCGTCCAACAGACATAAAAGGACATTTTCGCAGATCATCATTTTATGGTGCAAGCGTCCAGGACTACAACAAAGGAAGCAGCGCCAAATTGGTGCGACTTTAATGCTGGTCCACTCTCCCTCTCTCTGAGAGTTTGGGGCCAGAGTGCAGGCTTGTGTAAAATTGTGGAAATTTCGCAGCTAAATGAACTTTAAGTTTTAGAGCTGGGGCTCCCAATCCCTGCCTCAGAGTCCAGTCCTGCGCACACACACACACACACACACAGTGGGGGCCGTAAAAAGTGTCCTGCCGAGTGCCTGGCAGGCCACTTTAAATCTCTTTTATGCCCCGGACTGGCTGTGGAAATACGAGCCGGGCTGCCCGGCTGGGTGGCTGCCTCCCGGCGTTAATATCTCACCATGCATAAATATTTCGTAGGTTTTTTTGGGGACTCTGGCGCGATATGCACTTCGGCCAGGGTCCGGCCCGGGTCCGGCCTGGGTCCGGTTCCGAAATTAGAGTTTTGCACATGAATTTTATGCAAAAATTGTGTGCCCCAAGTGGCACATGTCGAGGCGCTGGCACATATTTCTCGAATGGCCAAAAACTGCAGTTGGCCTTAAATTGCTGGCTTGAAATGCATTAAACATGCAAACCACTTCGTCCTCGAAGGAAGAGGTGTTCGTGTGTGCGTAAGCCTTGGGTTGGGGGGGGCTGGGTTGTGGGCGCATTAAACAATTTCAAACTGGTTTCAAAGTATGCACAAAATTGCATTAAAACTGCGTGCGGGCTTCGATGGAACGACGAACTTTATTCGTTGTCTCTCGACCAACGAGCAATAATGTTGCATACTTAAAGGCGCGAGAGCTCAACGCGAAGTGTTCTTAAATGCATGCCACACTCGTGCACACACACACACGCACATATACACTCTCACGTTGAGAGCTAGTCGTGTGGCATGGCAAAAACTTTCGCCACTTCCGCGCCGAACACTTTCTCTCTGTCGGCGATGAAAAATGAGCGCGAATGGTTTCGGTGTCCTCGCACTGCACTGTCGCGAAACTGTGTCACATGAGCCGCCAGCACACACACACACACACAGCCGTAGAGGAGCACTTACATCAAAAATGCATATAGCATACAGCTCTGCGGTTGTGTGAGTAACTGCCAGTGAGTGAGTGCATCGTCTGCTTACCGCAACCGGCTGCCCCGCTGCCCCGCTGCCCCTCTGCCACACAATAAACTCAATTTGAAAAGCAAGGCATTTGGGGGTCGAACGTTGCGATACCCTGGCCAGATTGATGAATGAGCGACCTGCTCACACGCACATTTTCGTTATCCTGCTGATACGCAGGGTACACGGGACTCTAGCGCGTTTTAATGCTGATTGATTTCCATCTGCAGCTGCCTCGATTGTGGCACACATGCCCCTGCACCTGCTCGAATGGCAAGTGGTGCGAAAAGCGCAGTTTGTTGCTTAAATAATTTATCTGCTGCACAAACACACGCCGCCAGTGCCACTCCATGAGGCGGTGGGGCATGTTCTTGCTGGCAGCGACAATGCGTTGCGGGGACCGTCAACATTGTTGCACAAATACTGGCTCTCAAGTATCTCCGGCACCGGCACCCCCCCCCCCCCCCTGACAAGCGCCGGCCTCAGTTCTGTGGGGGGAGGCCTCGATTCGATTTCGATGCACTAGATTTGAGGCATGCGGAATCAGTTTCGGTGGCACTTGTCGCCTGAGCGACTGAAATATGCTAGAATGTGCTCCATTTGGTGGGCTCTGAATTTGTTGCACTCGCCCGCACATTTCTCATTTCCGTTGCGTGGTGGCAGCAAGCTCGCTTCTGGGGTTGCAGCCACCGCAGTTTGTTTCATTAAAACTTCTGCCACGTGTCGCAAGTGCGGGGTCCTCTGGCCCAGAAGGACCATCGGATGGGCAAAGGGTATCCCCGGTAGATGCTTTGTTTAGTGTTTACTGGGGGGTGGGGGCAGGGGGGTTGCACCACACGTGCGCTATCTGCATTTCAATGCATTTTAAAATATGCAAAAAGAACCCCAAAGAAAGTTTAGCTTTCTGCGGGATTGTTCATTACATTTTGTGCTCTCGCTTTGCCTTTCGTGCTTCGTGTTTCGGCGGTGGCTTCTTGTTAGCCGAGATTCCCATTTCCATATGGCGGGGCTGCCGCGGGCCTCATTGCCACACCTGCAACGGCATCCGCATGCTCGCCAGCATATTGCATTTTGTGCTCTTTTGCTTTTGCTTTTGCCTTTGCTTTGTTGCATATTTAATGCATGCAAATTATTTACGGGTGTCGAGTGTTAGCCAGAGGCTCCACCCACCACCCCGTGTTGGCTTAAAGCTCTGGCTTTCTCTCTCTGTGGCCAATTCATTTTGATTGCCTGCAATTTGAGCGCACCCGAAGACGCACATTAGATGCAGCTGGCGGGATGTAACCCGCTTGACTCCCGCGGTGGCAAGTGCATTTATCAGAGTCCTCTCCAGCGGCAGGTGGAACGTGTGAAGGACGTGCCGCTTTGTGCTGCATCGGCATGGCAATTCCCAAGCAATTTCCACGGTGGGACAGCAAAAAAAACGCGAGTGCGAGTGCGAGTGAAATGTCATTCAAGCAGCGAATGGCATTTACCCACCTGTCCCCGGACCCCACCCCGCTCTGCCTCCCCTCCATTTGACACCCGAAATATGCAAATGCCAGCATCATCTAGCTGTACGTCATGGTGGTCCTTTGGCAGGTACTACTGCTGCTCGTCCTGCTCTTCCTTCTAGTCCTACTGCTCCTCCACAGTCTGGTCCTCCTCCTCCTCCTGGTCCTCCTCCTCCTGCACCTCCTCGTCCTCCTCCTCCTGCACCTCCTCGTCCACCTTCTCCTCTTGCTCCTCCTCCATCTGCTCCTGCTCCTCCTCCTCTTGCTCCTCCTGCACCTCCTCCTCCTCCTCTTCTTGCCTCGCGCTGGGCGTAAACCTGTCAATCCCTTGCGCTTGTCGATAGTCAATCTATTCATCTTTCTAACTGGTTTCACATGTGAAAGCTGCCACACATTCCCCAACGACACTGACTCGGAGCCACCGCAAATCCGCTCATCCGCTCCAACGCCCCACCGTCACACCGCCCCACCCCCCCCCCCCCCCCCCCCCCCCCCCCCCCCCCCCGTCCCACCGCCCATTTGCATTGCTGGGCGTGGCCTCTTGCTGTCAGAATCCGGCTTGACTTTTATGCACATATCATTTGCATAACATTATTGGGAGCAGTGTGTGTACCCCCCCCACCCCTTTGGTGCCCCACCCAGCGCATTAAATTTTGAAATGCCAAATAAATCCGCAAGCGAAATGCTATTTTTTCGAGCTATTTTTCGTTTACGTTTGCACTTAGCAGGCGCTGCACTTTGCCCCCCCCCCCCCCCCCCCTACCACCACCCCTCAACACCCTCCAACCTGCAGCCTGCATCCTTACTGCCTGTCTGTTTGGTTGCTCCTGGTTGCTGACAGTTTCTCAATTTGCATTCGCAGTTCGAGCCGTGAGAGCCACGTTTGATTTACGCTTGTTGACGGTGCACTCGGCGTATGCGTAATAAGCGTGCCCCGTGCCCCTATTTGATGCCGGGGTGCGACTCGTAAATTGTTTTATTGCCTTGTCCTGGCAGCTCCTTGGTTATTTATATTTCAGGCACGACGAAAACCCTTTAAATTAAATCATAAAAAACAATACTCCCCAAATCGCTGAGGCGGCAAAACCCTTTCGCACCCTTGCGGGCCATCGAGGGTAAACAGTGGCTAAAAGAACCCCCCCCCCCCCCACGCCATAAAAATATTAAAACGGCAAACGTGACGAGCCCCCTTGATCGGGAGTTTATGTTTTGGTAAATGCCCGAAAAAGCCAGGCCAGAAATGGCGAAAGCCCGGAAGTAGTGGCTTAGGCTACAGCCCTTAAAGGCCTTAAATCAAACTCTTGAGAGGCCGCCTATTGACAGGAATTTCTGCTAATAATTTACAGAAAAATCCCCGCCCCTTTGCCCCTTGGATCAGTGCTAATTTGAATTTAAAGACCATTCCAGTGTCAATTGCTTGGAAAAAAGCCTCCTGCAACGCCTCAAAATGGTTTCACAAAACATTAAGCAATTGCAACGCCAACAGAAAAATCTAGAAAAAATAGAAAAATACCTAGTGCGGGGCCACATAGTTAGAGGCCCTGTGCAGGGCATATGATATCACATTAAGAATTTAAATTAATTAAATTAAAATGCGTAGAGCGGCGGCTGCTTGCTGCGGCTTTTGGGGGCAACCATCGTCCCTGGTCTCGGTCCTGGCTTGTTAAAGCTGCCACAAGATTTGCATAAAGTATAATGGCCATCTTCCTGGCCCAAAGCCTGGCCAAAGAGAGAGCGAGGGAGAACCCAACCGAGCGTGGCCATTCAATTTTCATTTTCTTTTTTTTCCTCTCTCTCTCTCTCTCTGTCCTGCCACTTCCTCGCATCCTTTGTCGTCTTTGAACTTTTCTCGACTGTCGTGGAGCATTTGTACTTTTTGTACAAGACATTTCCGCGCCGCATGTCCAGTTCCTGTCCGGGCCCTTGGCTCTTGGCTCTTGGCTGTTGGCCACGTTTTATGGGGCCCTTTGCTGGTCGGAAGCTGCTTCCTGGTCGCCAAGAGAAGAGAATTTCAATTTGATTTTCGCTACTGCGATCGTTTTGTTTTATTTCCTGGCGATATCTACGAATTTCATGTATCAGATTTGGGCTTCCGGCCATGTTTAACCGACTGACAAATTAAATGGCAACATTATGGCACTGGCTTTAAGGCGGGTCCAGGACACTCCATTTCACCCTCCCGCCTAATTATGGCCCAGGCTCGCCTTCGGGGGTGTCTGTTTTTGGTCTGGAGATCGAAAATGCACTCGAAACTTTCAGCGAAAATGGCCTAAAGTGACGGCCGTATTGGCCATCTCATATTTGTGTTAACGGTTGTGCCTTCTGCAAATGTTTGGCCCCCACCCCCGCCCCTGCCCCTGCCCCCTTCGCAAATCCTATTATTTTATTATGAGGGTCAGCCGAGTGTCGTTTTGTTAATACGAAAAGCAAACAAAGGGCCGTCTCCGCCCCCTGCCCCGCCCACTGAGGCACTCCCACACATTTTGATAGATTCGAATAAATAAATAGCCACTAAACTTTGCAAAAAGGCTTTAAAGAGCACTCGTTTCGAGTCGTTTTGGCCGCATTTGCACTATTAGCCCGATTACGGGCGTTTGGATAATTACGTGCATTTAATCAAAAAAACCGGGAATGTGGTAGGTACACGTCCCTAGAGGGGGGGAGAGGGCAGGGACTGGGGACAGGAAGAGGGACAGTGACTGGGAGAGGGATAGGTGGAGTGACAGGGAGAGGGGCGGGAGTTGGGCCTGGGACTGGGGCAGGGTTAGGGCCAGAGATAGGGACAGTGACTGGGAGAGGGATAGGTGGAGTGACAGGGAGAGGCACAGTGACAGGGAGAGGCACAGCGACCAGGAGAGGGACAGGGCCTGGGACTGGTACAGGGTTAGAGCCATGGTTAGGGCCATGGTTAGGGCCACTGACAGGGAGAGGGACAGTGACTGGGACTGCAGCGGTTCTGGCCAATTTTCAGCTAACTAATGTTTGCCTGTTACTTTTGCCTGGCGCTTATTTCTGCCCATTTATTTGGCCATGTTTTCGCTGTCCATCTCTCCGTCTGTCCGTCCTCCTGGTTGAGTCTTTCTCTCTCTCTTTTTTTTAGTTTGAAAATAAATTAAACAGGATAATTTGTGGTTCGTTTGTTGGGAAAATGTTAATGAGTTTGGTTGGCAGTCGCTCCCAGGATTAGGGGGGGGGGGGGGGGACAAACAGAGGCTGGCTGCAATGTCCGGCCGGAGGAGAGGGCCGTAAATTGTCCGGACCAGGCTTGTTTAAGTGGCAGCAAATGTGTGGAGGCATGTGGAAGTGCATCCACACGCAGCCAGGACAAATTGGGCAACAATTTTTCAACATCCTGCAAGGACAAAGGGGCAGGGTTGCTTGTGGTTTCATTTTCTGGGCATAAATCAAGCAGAAATTCTCGGGTCCGGGTCTTAGGTCCGCTTCAATTTGAAAGATAAACACTTGACAGACTCTGGGCGGCATGGAGGGGGGTGGACGGGGTGCTCTGTCTGTGTTATTTCATATTTAAGCCAAATTTAATGGCCCTGTCCCCAGAGCACAGGCCGACAGGACCGGCCAGGACCCCCCCGCCCCTCTGGAAAATCAAATTCTCTGCTTATGTATGCATGAATATATTTCCTTTTTGGGCAGTACTTTTTTGTCCTTGTCTCCTTGAGCATATTTGCAAATCAATTATGCAAGGACCAGGCAGGACATTGGATCTGTGATATGTGTCAATGTATCGTCTGGGGAGTCCTTAATCCCCCGCCCCAAAGTGACAGTGCGAGCAGGGTCCTTCGACAATCCTCTTTCTAATTATTTTAATTTCGAAACCCACACAAAAAAAAAAGGAGACCCAAAATCAATGGAAACGAGGTCGTGGGGGAGGCCAAGAAAATGTTGTCTGCCCCGGAAACGGAAACAAGCTGTGCACACGAGTGGAGGCCGCTGCAAGTCGTTGCAGCAAAATCCGAGCGGAAAATAAAAAGAAACGGCCTGGTATAATCCGGCAGCAAACGGAAGGAAGGAGCCTCCACGTCGCCGTGTGTGCGGAGGCATTCGATTCTAGGATAGAAAATGAAATTGAAAACTGTGCCAGACCGCAGGATCCTGCAGACTCGAGACTCGAGTGACATGGAATAAATTCTTATTGATTTTCGCTTTAGTGCCTTTAATATGGCCTCTGGAATGGGGCTGGGGCAGGGGCTGGGGCGGAGGCTGGCAATTATAATTGAATCAGAACTGCCAATCTTCCTTTCTCTATGATGTATCTGTGGCTGCATTCGTGATTAGTTTCTCATGCATTTGGCCAGGAATTAGTTTGAAAACATTTTCCAGACTCCATCCTGCCTGCCGTCGGGGGCGTTGCATTTTTTATGGATTGCCTGTCAAACACACCGAATCCAGCCAGACACGTACATATATATATTATGTGCGTGTGTGTGTGTGTGTTTCTGTTGGAATTTATTGCATTTTTAATAGGCAGCTTGTTTGAGGCGTTTCCCTCTGTTTAAATAATATTATTTTCCCTCCGTTTTCAAACAATAAACGCCTCTTTTTGCTCTTTTTACGGCCCGGACTTACCTGCAAATAAATAAAACCACAAAAGGCATCAGAGAATGAATGTTGACTTTTGTAAGTAATTAATAACATGTTCAATGATATTTTCCAGCCAACAAACAATTTTATGCTCTTAAATTACAAATATTTAAAGCAAGAATACCAATTTCTTGGCATTTCTTTGTATGAATTTTCATGCAATTATTTCGATTTTTCTTGAACAAGACTAGAATATATCAAAGACTATATAATATTGTATTGTATAGTCTTTGAATATATTCAACAAGAAATTTGTTGCGCTTGGATAATGACGAGAACAAAAGATACCCAATTGAAACGCAAATAAGCCACGGCACATATTTTTTCCACTGCAGAAAGCACAGCCGATCTTTTTTCTCTCTCTCACTGACCCGAGCACCTTTTCTACCTGCGCTTGCGGGTGCTTCGTGCTTTCGGTAGAGCACGATTGAACTTGTCTGTCTCGCAATAACAACAACCACCAGATTAGGCGAAGCATTTCGGTGAGAGAGAGAGAGAGCGACAAAGCACCGCTCTCTTTGCTTATCGCGGAAGCGCTAGCAAAGTCTGGCTTTGGCAGCCAGCGATCGCTCAAAAGGAAGACGAAAACAGAATCGAAGGTTTCTTTTTGTACAGTTTTTCTGCATTGTGCATTGTAGAAGTAATTAATACATTCTTTATCCATTAAATATATACAAATTACTTGCAATTAAATTTAGTTCATGGCTATTTCTTGCCTGAATTTTCATTCAAATATTTAGACTTTTATTTAGAACACAGCCACCTGCCCCGTTGGCCCCCCCACTGTACCACCTGGTTCGCTGCCTCTTTTGGTGGCTTATCTGATAAAATATGAGCGGCAAACATGCACATCTAATTTGGAGAAAGGAAAAATTATAATTAATTGTGGCTGTGGCTGTGGCTGTTTGCCGGCTTCTCTGTTGATTTCTCTATGCGATTGTTAGTTTTTCTCCATTTTCCCAACTGCGAACCGACTGCGGGCTACGGCGTGTGTGTGTTTGTGTGTGTGTGTGTGTGTGTACGTCATTTATCAAAGCACAAAATGCTCTCTGCTTTTGTTTTGCCCGTCAAAGGGTTGAGGCACGCCCCGCACCATGTGCGTGTGCAGCATATGAAAAATCCTGCGGCTAATAAGTGACACGCGTCGATTAATAAAACTGTACAAGGCTCCGGGCTACGGACTACGGGCCGCCCGTTGCTCTGCCGGCCGGAGGGTGTGGATGGAATGCCGCTGCGTGTGCTGTACATTAAAAGGCCATGTCACAGTCGACGATTATGCAAAACAGTCGACCGATTATGGATAAGCATAAGAGGCGCTCGGGGAAGGGCTCTGGGCTGCCTTTCAGACCAAAGAAAAACCTCAAGAATTGCATAAAATACAATCTATCTTTTCCATTTAACAATTTATTCGAATGCAACTTTAAAGAAACCACAACCACAGCCATAGATTCCCTTTAAGACATTTCTGACATGAGATTTACATTTTGTTTTTTGATTTTTGCTTGCTGTCCGCCCCAGCATGTGGCAAGTAAATCAAATTTTAAAATATGCCAAGGGCAAAAAATATGAAATCAAAATCCATTCAATTTCCATTTGACGGATGGAATCCCTCTCCCCTACCCCTCTCCCCTCACCCCTCGTGTGTGTATGGAAATGAACATGCAACAGCAGCATTTCTGGGGAGCGCAACAAAAACAGTTGCATATTAACAAGCTGCCATCGAGACGCTGCCAAGGCAAAAACAAGTGTCTACTTTCCGTCCAGCGTGTCCTGGATATCTCACATTCCCGTCTATCCGTCTATCCGTCTATCCTTCATCTCGTTCTCCGTCCGTCCTGTATTTACAGACCGTCCGTATGCACAGATGAATGATGCTGCCAATGAGTGTCTCTCTCTGTCTCTGTCTGTCTGTCTGGGGATGTGTTGTGACAGCATTTTGCTATTAACTTTCTATTTCTCGGCAGATATTTGTTTTTCTTTTCACTTCCACCCAGTGACATCTTTCCGCATCTGCTCCTTACAGAAGGGGACTCGAAATTAGCTCCAGAATGGAGCTATGTATATGATAAGCCGACGGCTAAGCTAAATGACCCGCCCCAGGGGTGGGGACTAGTAGATCTCCACCCGATAAGTGATTTATGTATTATGTGTCTATCGTTATGGACACAAAATCGTATTAGGGATGTCCTACCACCCGTGAACCGCTTTCCTCATTACAACCACCCATCCAACCACTCAGCCATCTCCGAGCAGTCGTCCCTTGCCGAGTGCTCCTTTTGAAGTTTACACCTGCGGCATCTTTGGTCCATAGCCCCACCGTCTGCCCTCTTGGCTGTTGAAAACAAAAGCCGCTTTGTTTGTCAACCTTCGGTAGGCCTGACTGGTGGTAGGCCAGACCCAGAGTCAGAGCCAGGACACATCCCGGACTCTGTTTGGGTTCCCTGGGTTTTTTCTTTTGCTTCTGCTGCTCCTAACGAGAAACTTCAATATTGTCCCTTCTGCCCAGAAACAAACAGGGAGTGAGCGAGTGAGTGAGAGAGCAAAAAGCGAGCTAGAAAGAAAGCAAGGCAAATATTAACCCGGGGCTATTCATTAAACAGTCCTTTGCTCATATGTTTTGCTTTCGCTTGATACTCTGTCCTTTCATTAAACAAGCCTCTCCTGCCGCTCCTGTCCTCTCCAGCCACTTGAAGCGCTCATTGTTTGCACTTGATGATGCTGGGTGACAGCTTCACCCCGGGCCTCCGTTCCGTCCAACGAGTTGCCAGCATTTATGGGAATATTCCTTTTCCAAGCATCAATGGCGGCACCCGCACCTGCTGCTGCCTCCGACGAGCGTGTGGGCGACCCGATTCCACTCATTTCAATTTTCGGCACTTGTCGGCTGTCGCTTTTAATATATACATATATATCTCTCGGTTCGCTCTCCCGCTCTACCGCTCTCCCGCTCTCTGTCTTTCTGCTGAAAGCTTCTCGAATTGTCTTCGCTGACAACAGCTGACGATGCCGTCGTCTGGCGACAAAATTTGTACATTAAAAAGCTTAACGATGCCCCCTCCCCCCGTCCGCTTAGTTGTCCGCTTGTCATTTATGGGTTCTTTTCTTCCCCGGCTTTGTCTGCCGTCTGACCGTCTGAGTGGCATTAAACGCACCTGATGTGCAAAAACTGCTTAATTGAAAACATAAGCTTCTATAATTTCGTTCCCCTGGGCCCAAAGAACTTAATTTAAAATTCAAATTTATGCTTTTGCATATTCAAAGGCAACCATCACGTACCGCTCCCAAACTCCAGCTCCAGCTCCGGCTC